TTTATGTTGATCAGTGGCACTATTCCAGGGGTGGGATTCAAATGTTTTTAACTACTGGTTCGGTGGGTGTGGCTTTGTGGGCATGGGGTGGCTTTGTGGGTATGGCTTTGTGGGTGTGGCAGGGGAAGGATACTGTAAAATTTCCATTCCCTCCCCACTCCTGGGGGAAGGTTACTGCAAAATCCCCATTCCCTCCACATCCCACTAACCTGCTTTCCAGCTCTGTTCTCCTGTTCAGGGCAACAAAAGAAGATCAGCTGGGAGGCAGTGGGGGTGGGGCCAGCCTATTTGCTGGTTCTCCGAACTACTCAAAATTTCTGCTACTGGTTCTTCAGAACCTGTCAGAGTGGCTGAATACCACCTCTGCACTATTCCTACTGTACACCAAGTCACAAACCCAAATAAGCCTTTTTACTGGTGTTTCTGGCAGCTCATTCATATTAACTGGGCTTTTTGACAATGCAGGGTTCTTATTCCTTTTCTCCAGGAGGTGCCTGGACCATAAGCCCGCGGACCAAAAGAATTGTCTGGGACACCAAGAAAGTTGTTGTTGTTGTTTTATGATTTTTTAAATGTATTTTTTATGATTTTGACTGCTGCTTGTAAGCCACACAGTATTATTCTATGTAAGATAGGCAGCAATGCAAGTTCAATAAACAAGCAGTCCTGGTATTTGAGCCCTGGTGGAGCAGAATGCAAAATTGCAAGCTAACTCTGCCCACAGCCTGGAGTTCAATCCTCAAGGTTGATTCAGCTTTCTAAACTTCTGAGGTCAATAAAATGAGGATCCAGATTGTTGAGGGCAATATGCTGACATTATAAACTGTCCATAAAATGCTGTAAAGCACTATGAGGCAGTATGTAAGTCTAAGTAGTATTACTATTGCTATTTTTCTTTGGCCAGCCAAGTAGAAGCTTACATGTTTTGTTCCATAGGCATCCAGTAGAAGCTACAATTAAGTCTATAAATTCAATATAGCATTTTTATATCTACTATCGGTATGCATACAGGTTGAATCTATTGAGTTTCATAAACAAGGATGATTAATATAGCTTTCCCTATTAATACAGTCCTCTGCTTGTTTGGCATTCTTATAGTACTGGTTTGCCTTCCAGAAGGATAGCTTCAAAGTACCCAGAGTCAGATGAGTAGCTGAGCTCTGTGTAATTGTCTTTCATGCAGGCATAAAAGATACAGTTCAGTGTTTTGCCTGTTCTGGGTGTCTGGGAAATTGGGAAGAAGGTGATGATCCATGGAAGGAACATGCAAAATGGTTTCCTGAGTGAGTAATACACGAGACAAGTTCACAATCTCTTTATATTCCTGATTCTAATATTGAAGATAGCAGTACTGTAGTTATATTCCCAGCAGCTGAGACCTCACTACCAAATCCCTTGAAGCAAACCCAAGATAGCCAAGTGAACAGAAGAGCCAACAGTATCTTTGATCTGCGACCACCAACCACAAGCTTCTTTGCTGACCATGTCTCCAGATTATCCTTGAATGAAAGGACCAATCATTGTAGGGTAATAGTAATATAGCCTCATAACAACATCATTCAATATTCATCCACCACAGGGCCATTGCAGTGTTCTTTTTTGGTTACTTGTATAGAAATGGCTTCCATATGCATTCTCAGTTGCAAAAGTGTTGTTAGAATGTCTTTGTTGCTCTGTGTCTGTGAAACATTCTCCTTTTGGAAATGAAATTGAATTTTACCCACTCTGCATCCTGGAAGAATATCTTTTAAATGTAAATGTCAAACAATTTTAATAGTTTTTAAAATGTTTTCTTACATAGGTTTATGTTAATATAAACTGCCATCATTTTTTTATTTGAACAATGCTAGGTATTGCTTTAGAAATATTCATAATAAGATGAGTGCATAAACTAAATCCCCATCATGGTTGGATTTGTAAACCCTGATCCAACCCAATATCTTAAACATCAGTAACAAACAACAATGAAATTGATGTCATTACATAAACATATTACCGTAGAAGTAAACTCAAAGGAATGCTGAATGAGAAAACATAATATAGGTAGACTAAAGGGGTGCTTGGAAGCCTTAGGCTATCCTGACCCATTCCTGCCCTTCCAGGGTGCTGATTGGCGTCTTATTCCATACAACAAATGACTCTCTCTGGATTGCTTGGGATGAACAGGTAGAAGAAACAACTCTTCACCATCAACATCTCCAACCTATCATTGTTCCACCTTCCAACACTACCATTTTGAAAAGTGGAATGGTAGTCAGATTTCAATATAGTAGTTTTGTTACTAGAAAGACAATGGAAATACTATGAATAGATACATTTATGCATTAATTTCTAGTGGGTAAAATTCCAACCTGATATCCTCAAAATATCTTGGATTGTAATAACCATTGCCAGCTAGCATTACAAATAATCTACTACAGCAGATAGTGGAATCTATAATCCAACATTTTTGGCAGGCACCAGCTAGAAGAACCTTGCTCTTGGATATTTGTATGCTAGTTCTAAAGCAAATAAGTATAAGAAACCTGACAATAAAAACTAGAACAACACATCCTTCTTATTTCATAATATGAAACTCAATTTGCTCATTGTAGAAAATCTCCACAATACATGGTACCAATTACTACATATTTACATTTGTGCTTCAAGTTCTTGGTCAAATGCCAGGACAGACTGAAATTTTATTAATTGTTCAAATTTGTTGTGATAACCAAAAATATATAAATGACCATTATATTATTTTATAGGTGTGAATTTCTTCAAATGAAGAAGTCTAGAAATGAAATTAAACAGTATATTCAAAGTTATTGTGGATTTCTTGACGTTACGGTATTGTTTTTCCATTTTTATTTTATTAAAACATTAGCCTATGTTTGTTTAAGGAGATACTCTTAATGAGATAATCCTCAAGATCTTAATTTTTGTGTTGCAATGTCTAACTAAACCTCTTGCAAAGTATTTCTCTAGTTTCTCTTTCTTCACAAAATTAAAAGTTAGAATGTTTGAATATTGTGAGAAATTTAAGCAACAGTTAGCTAATGTTGGGATCGGGGATGGGGGAGCAGGAGGAGAGAAAGAGGCCAGAACAATCTTAATTGTAGGACTACAAAGGGGGGGGGGTAATTGTACCTGTTCAAGACATAGTTATTTGTCAAAGTATAAACTCATGGCACATCAAAGAAAGATTACTTTAACAAAACTGTTCAATGGAGTCTTTATAGCAATTTATGTGCACTATATATAAACTGAATTCAAAGCATCAGTAGAACTTATCAAAATAATGGAAGAAATAGAAGCATGAATAAAAATAAATCTAACGTTTTGTTTTGTTTAGGGGAAGCATTTTGAAGCATCTGCCAGGAAATGTTTACCTTCTGACCCAGGTACAGCAATGGAAATAGAATTCTAGGCCTGTGATTTAANTAGGGACCACTTCAATGGGAAGGTAACAGTGCTCTGTGCGCCTTTGGCGTTTAGTCATGACCATGAAGACATCTTCGGTTAGCGCTGGCTCCTCGGCTTAGAAATGGAAATGAGCACCACCTCTAGAGCTGGAAATGACTAGCACGCATGTGCAGGGGAACATTTACCTTTATATTATGTCTGGATTTACAGAACATGAAGCTTCTTTTCTGTGATAGCCCGCTTTGTATCTTAGCTTCCTTTGTTCCATTAAGTATAGGGAAAAGTTGAGATTGATTCCAGATAATTAGTGTGCTTCCATGTCAATAATTTTAAAGTACTATGTATTTTACTATGACATTGTTTACAATTTAAAGATGAAAAGTTACAAATGCCCAACTCTTCTTTAGCTTCTAAGCAGAAGAGAAAGCTACCCTCTATAAGCGTAAGATATATTTAAAGTGATTTTACTATGCAGAATCTTTTATTAGAGATGTGATTGTAATTAGTGAGACTGGGAATATAATTTTAAAAATTACTCCTAAATCTGTTAACAAGTTCTGCTATTGAGTAAAGGTTGACTCTCCAATGACATCCAAAGCAACTCATGATGATACTAAAATGACAGACGTGATTATGTAATTATTATGTATAATGTGAACTCAAGGTGAATGTACTTAATAATCCTGCCTCTTTATTTTCTCTACAATAACCCTGTTGGGCTGAGAGAAAGTTACTGGCCCTAAAGCAGGTCTAGAACTCATAGTCGTCTAGGTTCTAAGGCAGCACCTTAATCACTACACCAAACCTGTCTCTCATGAAAATTATGTATTTATATATTTACATCAAACATCTGGCTTAAGTATGTAAATTGAGGGAGGCAGTTGCATTATTACATTTCTGCAAATGTGTATTAATTTGCTCCTCTACCTGCAGACACTATTGTTGCTTTGTTTTAATCATTCCTTTAGCTATAGTTTTAGCAGCAAGGCAGATGATTATTTGCAAAAATGCGTCCTCTAATGTTTTTATTGTAATTTATCTAATTATATGTTCTGAATATAAAGAATAAAACTTAAATATGTCTTCTTTTTATTTGGCATATCCGAGTATACTGCCAATCACTGTTAAAATCCTGGCTTTTATTTTCCGAGTACATAAGTAGTTTCCAGCTCCAGTGATTTAGCAATAAATAAATCAGGCGGGATATTATCGTTGATGCTTTCAATAAATATTGGGAGACTTAAGAGTCTCCCAAAAGGGTTTACTCTTACCCCCCAGGACTTAATGAAGGTCATTCACCAGAATGACCAGACTGTTTTTATCTCATGCCCTGAGCTGAATCCCAACTGAAAAGGATCTAGATTAGGGTTTTTGAAACCGCGCTCCAAGGAACTTAGGGTTTCACAAAGACTTAAACAGGTTCCACAGCTATAAGGGGAGGAAGAAACGAAGAAGAAAAAACTAAGAACATTCCTGTCCACTTCAGTGCTACTCTTCCCCTCTCACTTGCCTCAGCACTAGCTTTTGGGAGATAACTGGCTGTCTTTCCCACACCATATGAATGCATACAAAACTTGATTCTCTGCCTGCCACCAAATTCTGACACACATTCCTAACTGCATAAGAGCAATTGCAGGAGTCCTTGCATCTGTCTTCACTTTCCACATTGTAAACTTTGTGTCTATGAGTTTATAAGTCCACAAGAGGCCCATTTGAATGTTATACTAGACATTTTGTGCACATCTATTTAGGTGTAAGGCTTATTGAGCTGTGTAGGAAATTTAGCGAGATTTGCAAAGACGAGGAAGATGGGTGCTTATGTGGCTTCAGCTAAACATTCACATCCCATTAATCGCCATCCTAAATATATGCTCCTAAGAAAGTGATGGCTGACCTTTTTGTTGTTGTGTGCCAAAGGCGCGCACACCCAACAGTGCGTGCCCCTGAACCCATAATGCAATGCGCACATGACCCTTCCGTGTGGCCTACCCCCTGCACATGTGTGCTTGAGCCCTGCCCCACATGCAAGTACACATGACCCCTTGTATGAACCCTGTCCTGTGCATGCACATGGAACGCTCCCATCCTCCCCCACATGTGCACGTGACCCCCCCACGCACTATTTTGGACCTAGTAGGCTTCCCTGCAGCCTCCTGGGAGCAAAAATGGGCCATGTGGGGGTTTCACTTCACCCCATTTGGGCCTAGTAGGTCTCCTGGGAGTAAAAATGGGCTGCAGGGGGCTGTGCCATGCCCCCATGCATGTGCACCCTTCATGCATGCGCATGGATGTCCCACATGTGCTCTGCACATGCGCAAGAGACCTGAAAACCAGCTGGGCGGTGGGAAGTGTGCATGCATGCACGGTGAATCTGAGCTGTGGCGACAGCTTGTGTCCATAGGTTTACCATCATGGCCCTAAGGTATATTTATATATTTTTATTTTGTTTTTGTAACATCTATTTAAAATGAACATTTTTTCAGTTATAGATAATTGGCTACCAGACTGGAACAATATCAGATAGTATATAAAAAAGTTGAAAATAAAANATCCCTTGACGGGCCTTCTTTCCTTCAAATTTCATCTTACCAAAGCAGGGATTAATTTCTGATGTGCATTTTCATTTTGCTTACACAGTCCGCAAGATATATAATGCCAATATATTCATGGAGAGCTGGAATCTTTCTTACAACTACTTCATATATTTGTGCTTCACATTAAGCAATATTGTTTTAAAATCACTATTTACATATTGAAAACATTAGAGTGGCAAATTCTCAAATGTCATCTACCATTTCCCCATTCACTTATATAGATGTATATTTATATGTGCAATATGTATGTCCTTGATTGGGTCTCTTTGCAACATAGTAGTTAAGAGCAGATGTAGCAGATAAGTAAACCCATTCCATATTAATATTTTACTTATATCGTATATCCAGGGGTGGGATTGACATTTTTTTAGCAACCAGTTCTCTGCCCAGTTGTTGGGTGGCCGTGGCCATGGGGGCATGCCCTAGTTGGCTTCCTGCACCATGGGAGTGGGGCATTTTCACCCTCCCCAGATCCCAGAGGCTTTCATCGAGCCTCCAGGAGGGTGAAAACGGCCTGTTTCCGTACTTCCGATAGGCCCATTTTTCCCCTCCCAGAGCCTCCACACAGGCCCTGCACTTACCTGGCATCCAAAATGGGCCATGTGGGGACTCCTGGGAGGGGTGGGGCGGGGTGGGCGAGGTAAGCCAGTCTTTTCAACTACTGGTTTGGTGAACCAGATTAAAATTAACATCCGGTTTACCCGAACCAGTCCAAAACAGCTGAATCCCACCCCTGCGTATATCACTAGGAAGTGTGCAAGTAAGACACAGCTTTGCTATAGTATAGTATGTCCAACAGGAGAACAGCCAAATAAATGGAAATGAACAATTACAAATAACAGTTATAGTTGAAATACGTCAGATCAACTTTATGAAGGCAAATATCTCATTTCTGCTTTTACAGACATTGCTCTGGATGAATACGAATGGCTGCAAAGAAAGCTCTCAGAGGCTTATAATGATCTCAGTTTCAGGAAAACGTTTTCTTTTGGGGATCACACTCATTTTGCCCTTGACTTGAAATTGCTTTACGGGGATGTGGCCATTGTCTCCAAGGACATCAGTAACCAACCACAGCAGCAACTGACATTGCCAGAGGTCCTGGAGAGCTTGCATTCCATTACAGTAATAGAAGGAGAGGCAGGTAGTGGAAAGACCGCCTTGCTTCGGAAAATAGCAATTCTTTGGGCCTCTGGATGTTGTCCAATGCTCAGCAGATTCAAGTTAGTTTTTTATTTGTCCCTGAATTCTGGGGAACGTGACCAAAGTCTGGCCGACCTTATCTGCAGTCAGGTAATAGGGCTTAAAGGGATCTTGACTGAAGATTCTCTGAAGAACATATGTCAAAATTTAACTAGCGAGGCCCTGTTCCTTTTGGATGAGTTTGACAAGATGAATGGGCTTCCCTGTGCAATCGAAGATTTGATTCAAAAGAACTATTTGAACAAACACTGCTTGGCTATTGCAGTTCGTCCTCACCAAGTTAGAGGAATTCGTCAACATGCAAACACCCTTCTCAGTATTTTGGAATTCCCATTAAGTAGCACCCTCTATCTGTTAAGAAAACTATTTTCTTACAACGTTCGGCTTTTGGGAGACTTTTTTATTCAATTGTCCTATGAAGAGACCATGCGTTCCATGCTGAAGACTCCCCTTTTTGTTGCAGCCCTTGCCTCATACTGGATTCAGAATCCCAGTGGCAATATATTCACTGGTACGGTCATTTTAAAAGCCTACAAGCTGTACAGCTTGTTGAAATATCCTCAAGAAGTCGATCGCATGACAGCCGTGATGTCTGCTTGTGGTGAATTAGCTTTACAAGGTCTCTTCAAATCCCTTTTTAACTTCAGTGAGAAAGACCTGTCTGAAGTTGGAGTTAACGGGGAGGAAGCGCTCTACTTTGGATTGCTGAGCAAGTTTACTGCTCAAAGGCTCCAGCCACTCTATAAGTTCTTCCACCTTTCCTTCCAAGAATTTCTTGCAGGACAAAAACTGTGTGAGCTCCTGGCTTCAGATGTGCAGGCAGATATAAATAAAGGCCTGGAATACTTGCGGCAAATTGACACATTTGTGAAAATTAATGGGCGCTACCAATATATTTTGAGATATGCTTGCAGTGAACCATCCAAAGCAGTACCCATAATAATATCCCACCTACTGAACTTACTCAGCTGCAAGAAGCCACCTGAAAGCCATTCAGATAATTCTATTTATTTGCAGCAAACTCCAGACCTTAATTTAAAGCAATATCAGCTTATCAGCGCAGCCTCTAGTTTGATTCCAGAATATCATCACTCACAATTCACTGAAACTGTATTGGTTTTTGCTACTGAGTTAGCCTATCAAAGCAATATGGTTTCCGGTTGTGCACCTATGATTTTAGAGTTTCTGACTGGAAAAGAGCTTCCGTTATATTTGTTGAAAAGTGGATCCATCCATAAATTATGTCTGGATTATCCAGAAAGTTTGTTCTTACCAAGTAGATTTGTGCAAACGCTTGCAGGGAGGGAGGTATCTATAGATATGGCTGGAGCAGAAAGTGCTTTTCTCAACTTGAATGTTCCATCGGTTGAACCAATATACACTCAAGCTTTTCAACTCTTCAGTAAAGTTACTCAGCAACTAAAAGAAGACTTAGATAATATTAATAATTTTAAGACCTATACATGCAGACAGATTCCAGATTCCATAATAACTCCATTACTCTGTGTGAAAAGCTGTGAGAAGATTCCATATCTGAAATTTGCTGTCACACATATAACTTCCCTTGAAGCTCCTGATGTTGAGAATTTAAAATTGCTCTTCTCATTTTTTGATAATATTGAACTGAAGTTGCAAAATTGCAAAGGGCTCCTTGAGAATATAAAGACGGCTATTGAAGAGAACTTGAAGTCTTTTAAAATATGCAGCTTAGATAATACTGAACTGAATGAGCTGGAAGAAAACCTACTTCTTTCAATGTCTTCACTTGAATCCCTTGACGTTAAGTGGAGCGCTTCAATACCAGGTACTTCTATCTATTTTGCTTTTAAATTATAATGCAATATTCAATATTGCTGGATCTTCCAAGATTCATGGTGGAAATATTACAAAAATATTTTTAATAAATAAATCAGGAAATACTGGAGGATTAGGAGTAACGTAAATGGTTACCAAGAGTGGTGGTGGGAGAAGACTGTGTTTGATTTTGCTTGATTTTTTTGAGGATTTCCTTAATAATAAGTATCATTAAATCTGACAAGCATGTCAAACCAACTTGCCATAAAACACACTAAATACTGTGTTCACAGTAAGCATGCACAGCATATCATGATAACCCCAAGTAATCCAATTTACATATTAATGTTTAAATAAATGTATTGATTATCTATTTGCCTTATAAGTTTCAGAAACACTCTTTGCCAATTTGGACAAATACACATTTTTAAAGGAACTGTCGTTGAATCTATCTGACTGCCAGAATATGTCTGATACCATCCCAGAGGGGTTCAAAAATCTTCACAACATTGAGAAATTGATTCTCTGCAATGTTCGTTTTAAAACAAATTCTGCCTGGCTCGGTAAGTGCTATGTGTATAAAATTCAAGAGTACTTTCAATGGACAACTGGTTGCATATGGATAAAAAACTGAGAGGTTTAATGTTTTTATCCTTTTCCCCTAAGATAACACCCATTTTTTAAAAACGTGTCTCTTTTAAGTAATATTAGAACTGAGAATTCTTGTCCTGTTTCTGAATGTAGTAAGTCCAGATCAGAGGACTCTTAAATGGAACAGATCAGGGGTGGGTTTCTGACGGCGTTACTGCTGGTTCAGTGCATGCGCATATGTGTAGTTGCCTGTAAATAGGTCTGCGCATGCGCAGAACATTAAAAATGTCAAAAAAACATGTCACGCCAACCAGGGAACTGGACCAGGGATTTGTGATGAGCCTGCTGTCCCTACCAGTTCGGCGACCCACTCGCAACTTCCACTACTGGTTGGCCCAAATTGGCGCGAACTGGTAGCAACCCACCTCTGGAATAGTCTTTTTGTGAAGAAGGATTCATCGAGGCTTCAGGCAGTCACAATCATGTGATCGTAATCTCAGTGTGTAACTAAGAGCAGTGACATCAAGTTGTGTATTGCATTGTTTCAAACTATTTAATATTGTACACCACCCAGAGCTGTGACAGTATTAGGCAGTCTACGCATTTAATAAATAAACAAATAGACCCACCAACCAATCTAGGCAAAATGCTGACTGCAGCATTGGGATGCAACCCCAGTTACTTTTGTGCATGCATTGGTGTGGCATGGACATACAAATGGCTGGGGGCTCAAGTGAGATGTTGCAATTGTTTTTTTTGTCTATTTTTACCCCCCTCTAATGGGAAGCATTAATTAGAGAAAAAATGGGTTAAATGCTTAAAAAGAATGTGAGGACTTTAATAAAGTCACTGTGTTTCATCCTTAAATTTTATTTTTAAATGCCATACTCATACCGTTAATTGTATAATCATTAAGATTATATCAGTATTGCCGCAAAATTCTGGAGCACTAAGAAAATATCTATCTATCTATCTATCTATCTATCTATCTATCTATCTATCTTATCTATCTATCTATCTATCTATCTATCTACGGTATGCCCAAATATGGGAGGAAGATCACTACTTCCATTCTCTGTCCTTCGGCTCGTCACAAGAGACCATCCAGACAGAAACCCAATATTTTTACTGTTGCCTTTCTTGTTACATTTATCAGCACAAATACAACAAATACACACACACAGACACATAGACAGTACATATGCTACAATGCACATAAAATGTTTGTACATAGCTTTCCTTCATATCCACATGATAGATTGATGTGGAAATCTGACTGGAAGAAACTTGCAATTCATATCATGAGGAACTAGCAGAAAATGAAACTGGCAGATTTGTTCATGCATACAAATAAACCAAATACAAATACAAATACAAATGCCTAGGGTAAAAAGGAATAGAAGTGAAATATACGCTTATGTAGAATAGATTCTTAACTAACATGAAGTAAATCTACTGTACGCCTGACACTAAAGTCAACAGTAGCTTAAAATCCTTCACATTGCATTATGTTTTTTTCTTTTTTCTTTTTCTTTTACAGTTGAACTCATACAGAACTTTCCAAATCTCTCTATCTTCCATTTGCAAAACACCATTTTCTTTGGTATGGGAGCTCTTATGAATGCAATGTCTTCCTGCAAGAAGCTCACTGAAATTCTACTCAATGACTTGAATGTTGGAGATGACGATCTGTATGCCCTCGGTAAGAAAAATTTAATGGACAACTTTTGCAGTATTAATACCAAATTACACTTTTGCTTAATAACAAAAAAAGTGACAATTCAAAGGCCATGAAGTTCTCAATTTAAAATATATCTCGGAGATTAGAGCCTTCTGTGCTGACCTGAACATACTTGGGAAATGATGTATCTGGTTTGTTTTTCTTCTATTCTTATACACACATTGCTATCAAATAAGAGTGCTGGATATGCAGGAGTGGGCTGCTGGGGGTTCACACGGGTTTGGGTGATCCTCTAGCTAGTATTCTTCCCAATTCGGCAAACCCTCCCAATGCCAACCCTGGCTGGCCATGCCCACCTTGCCCCCCCCCACCTTCCCCTCCCCAGAGTTTCCATGCGGCCTGTTCATCATGCCAGGTAAGTGCAAGGACCGCGTCGAGGCTCATGGAGGGTGAAAAACGAGCCTACTGGAAGTTCCAGAAGTCTGGAAACAGGCCTGTTTCTGGCCTCTGGAGGGCCTCCGGAGCCTGGAAGAAGCTGTTTTTGCCCTCCTGGAAGCTTGAGGAAAGCCTCCAAAGCCTGGGGAGGGGAAAAAAAATCTCATCCAACTGTGGTGCAGGAGGCCAACTAGGCCACACCCACCCTGGCCACGGGGCAGCGAACCCGCTGCTGCAATATTTGAAGCCCACCCCTGTGAATATGCTGCTGTATTTGTAATAAAAAGAACCATAAAAGGTTGCCTGCAGTGGACAGGAGGAATGACCCTGAGGAAAAGGAGGAAGAACTGATAAGGATTGAATAAAAGAAACTTGAGTCAAGGCAGTACTGTAACCTGAGAAAACAAGAGATGTTTCTTTTATCTGTTTTGGCAATAGCTTTTCCTTCTGCTACTCAAGGTCATTCCTTCTTCCAACTTTATTCCCACAAATAATCCAATTTCCTTTTCATGTAGCAAGAGGTCCTATGAACTGGAAGAATCAGAAGTGTCTGTGTCAAAATCTGCAAGATTATGACTGCAGTATTGTGATCAAAGCCAACTCTTTTGTACATAGGTTGATACTACATTCATATACAAAAGGGTAGAGCTTACCATAGATTGCGGTGATACACCCATCATTTTGCAGACTTTGCCATAAAAACCTCAGATAAATAGATTACAAAAAGATTAAAGAGTGATAAAAAGCATTTTATTATTGTAAAAGTATTGGTGAAACTTTAATGCTATCATCTGTTGATTTGAATTGAAGGCAGTTATTTGTAGTTTGTTCATTTATGTCGATATTTATTTTTATATGTTGCAGCTGCTGTTTTGCCAAATTTTACAGCATTAAAGATACTGAATCTCTCAAGATTGCATTTGGAAAACAAGGAAGCATGCAGAGCATTGGGTATGGTTTAACTTTTCATTCCTTATGAATATGTTCTGAGGTATGGTATAGTGCTGGTCTAGAAAATTCATCAGTTATGACGTTGCATTTTCTTGAACAGGTTATATAGTCTATCTGGACATAGAGTTTCCTAGGAGACACCCAATTACCACATTTTTTTTTTACTTTGCAGCATTAGCTTTACGTTCTCTTATAAATTTGGAAGAGCTTGTTCTACCGAATGGAGAAGGAGTAAGGCATGCAGCTAAATTGATTATTCAACAATGTTTCCATTTTCCAAATCTTCGTAAGTTGGAGTTCAGTTTGTATTTAAGTGCTGAAGGCCTGTTGGAAATAGGTAAGTTTTTAAAACAGGTAATCTTTATACAACTTTTACAGATAATCTTTATACAACTTTTCATCATCCAGTTGATAGATTTGGCCTGGCCTATCTTATCCCTAATATGAGCATGGAGCTGACAAACACATTTTGAAAACCTCTTAGAGCAATGGTTCTCAACCTTCCGAATGCCGCAACCCTTTAGTACAGTTCCTCATGTTGTGGTGACCCCCACTCATAAAATTATTTTCATTGCTACTATGTAACACTGGGAGCCACAAAACCTGGGTGGGTGTGGCCAACTCAACATCACTCCCACCCAGTCACATGACATCCCCCCCACATGCCTACCAAGGTTTCATTGCTCAGTATTTTCTATGGGAATAGGGTTTCTCTCTCTTCTCTCCCCCTCCTTCTCATTTCTGTTTTTCTCTATTTTTCCTTTACTCTTCTTCCTTTCTTCCTTTCATTCCTTCCCTTTCCCTCTTTCTTTTTCTTCCTTTCTCATTGAATACGATAGCAAATCCAAAATAAAGTTATTAATTGTAGGAAATTGCTTCTCTGTAATCTTTTCATAGTGTACTCTAAGTTGATAGAAGCTGGCAAGATTGTACTAACAGCAATAGGATATATATTTTTCCTTTTGAGTTTGACAATATAATATGCTATCCAAAATTATAAATAATCTTATTTTCAGATGCATTTTTTTGCCATCTCTGTTATTTTCTTTATAAAAAAAATAGAGATGGCAAAAAAATGCATCTGAAAATAAGATTATTTATAATTTTGGATAACATATTATATTGTCAAACTCAAAAGAAAAAAATATATCCTATTGCTGTTAGTACAATCTTGCCAGCTTCTATCAACTTAGAGTTCACTATGAAAAGATTACAGAGAAGCAATTTCCTACAATTAATAACTTTATTTTGGATTTGCTATCGTATTCAATGAGAAAGAAAGAAAAAGAGGGAAAGGGAAGAAAAGCAAGAAAGGAAGGAAGAAGAGAAAGGGAGAGGAAAAATATAGAGAAAAACAGAAATGAGAGCGAGGGGGAGAGAAGAGAGGGAGACCCTATAACGACAGAAATGTTGGACTCAACTGTAGACGACAGGAATGAAGAAAAGAGCATGAAACAGCCTGC